TTGGGGTGACTGAAGCTCCCAACTGCTCCTTTTTTTTCTTTTTTTCTTTTTTTATTCTGGGCCAGCTTTAGCTCTGAGGCTTGGCTCCAGCTCTTAGGCCTCCGCAGCTGAAAGTAGGTTTCTGGCCTTTTCTTACAATTTTGCAATCCTGCTGGCTGAAGTCCGATGGTATTTGTTACAGACTTTCTGAAACTGCTGGCTCAGAGGCCTGCAGCCGCAGGCGGGGAACGTTGGTTTCCTCCGTCACTGAGGCAAGCAAGCCTCGTGTTAGTTTCAAGCTGCCTGGCTGCCGGCCGTCATCTTGGCTGACAGTTAATTTGCACATCTCGCTGATTAGCCAATGGGAAGGGTAGCGGTCATACGCCAATCACCATGTTTCTCTTTTAGTAGTGTAGATATATTTTAGAGGCCTAGTGCACAAATTCATGCACAGTGGGCCGGCTGGAGAGAGGCGCTGCGGGAGGTTGGCCGGCCGGCCCCGTCCCCGATCGGGCTGGTTAGTTGGATAGTGAGTTAGTTGGCTGCAGTGTGCATCATAGCGACCAGTCATTCTGCTCTTTCCGGTCATTCACATCTCTGTCTCTCCTCTCTCTCTCTCTGTCTCTCCTCTCTCTCTCTGGCCCTGTCTCTCCTCTCTCTCTCTCTCTCTATCTCACTCTATATATATATATATATATATACACACACACACATTGTTGTTGTTGTTGTTGTTACAGGGTGGTTTAAATTTTCATAGGGTGCCAGAAAATGTTGACTAGAATTCTAATGCTCATGCACTAAGATAGCAGTATTATATGCTTTACCAGTTTTCTCTATTGTGGTCTCTTAATATTTTTCATATATCTGTGGCTTAACAAGATAAGATAAAACTAGCATTTGGAAAATTTATGTAAATGCAACTATTTTTTGTTTTGTTTTTGTGTGTGTGTGTGTTTGTTAATCATTATCGAGGATATTTTTCTATTGATTTTTGAAGAGAGTGGAAGGGAGTGGGAAAGACAGAGAGAGAAACATTGATGTGAGAGAGACACATTAATTGGTTGCCTCCTGAACACTCCTGGACCAGGGCCAGGGATAAAGCCTGCAACCAAGGCACATACCCTTGACTGGAATCGAACCTAGGACCCATTCATTACTCCATGGGCTGATGCTCTATCCACTGAGTAAACCTGCTAGGGCTTATTTTTTAAAATATATATTTTTTGATTTCACAGAGGAAGGGAGTGGGAGAAAGAGATAAAAACATCAATGATGAGAGAGAACAAATGATCAGCTGCCTCCTGCACACCCCACACCAGGGATTGAGCTTGCAACCTGGGCATATGTCCTGACCAGGAATGAATAGAACCAGGACCTCCTGATTCATAGGTTGACGTTCAACCACTGAACCACATCAGCCAGACCAGTACTATAATTTTAAATTCAACTTTTCTACATATTTTAACTTTCTTTTGTCAATGTGTCAGTATTAGTACTGGTTTTACAACTTTTTAAAATAAACATTAAGACAAGGTAACCAAGCCTTTTTGTGTCTTTGTACAGGAAAAACTAAATACAGTGAAATAGGAGGAAAGAAAAATGCAACAATGAAGATAAAGAAGGTGTGTTGAAAAATCTTGTTCTTAGATAACTTTATGGTTTTTAGTACATAACGTTAGTGCCTCCCTTATATAAAAGTCTTCAATACAACTTTTACCTACTATTTATATTGTGGAGGGTTTTTGTTTGCTGTTTCACTAACGTGTTTTTACTTTTATAGCTTCGAAGATCAAATCAGTGTACAAGTCAGTCCTTCAGAAATTCTTTCTTCAATATGTTTTCTTCTACTAGTCACACTGGAGACTCTTCTTTTACCTGTAGAGCTTACTGGTTAGTATTTTCTACTTTTAATTTATGCTTTTTTCTACTTGATGTTTTAGTTATAATTAACTTTTGGTAAAAATTTAAACTTAGGCTCAGCAAACATTATGAAAACCCACCTTGATTTTTGCTTTTGTTCCTTTTGGAAAATAAACTAGTTTTAGCAAAGAGAAAACCTATCATTTTGTGACATTCTCTGTTATGCAATGACTTGCCTATGCTAGTGGGCTTTGTTTTTATTAACAATAAATTATTCTACACAGGCGTTTTGTTGATAGAAAAAAGTAGGCTAGCAGTAAGCAGAGCCCTTTCAGAGTACATCCTTCTTTGAATCCATAGTGATAGGTGGAATTTGAAAACTAAGTTGGACTTTTAAAATTGCATAGAATTGGTTGAACTAACAAGACAGATTATGATTGTAGAATTCAATTTGCGAGCTTGATTTACAAGAAAGCACTTACACCTGAGTAGTCTTTGAAAAGCTGAACTATACCCTTTTTTCGTCATGTTTTGTTAGAGTAACTGTACCTTCTTTGATTTTCTTCTTTTGTCCTCTGCTTAGTTTCAGGTGGAAACTATTGCGCCTACAATTTCTGCTGGAACTGCTTGCTGTAGCTTTGGTTCATGGGATAGAAATAGTGTTAGGGTTTTTCTCTCTATAATGAGGATATTAGTCTGAATTGACTTTTTAAAAATTCTGTCCCTTAAATAGAAATTCAAGCATTATTTTATGAATCAGATAAACATAATTTTGTTTGTAATATAAATATTTTACTGACTTTTAGGAATTAGTTCATTTTTAAAGTATTTAAATAGAAAAATGTTCTTATCCTTATAAATGTGATTTATAATGCTAGGTATAAAAACAACTGCATATATATCATGAACCCAATTGTTACTCCACACTTAAAATTTTTAGAATTCTGATGAAGGTGTAAAATTTCTCTTTTAGTACAGAATTTATAGAAGTCAATGAAATCAGTGCATTAATTAGACAGAAGAGACAGGAACTGGAATTGTCATGGTTTCCTGAAACATTACCTGGAATTGGAAGGTAAAAAAAATTGTTACTGAAGTGTTTAATTGCTAACATGAATATAAGATATCATTAATACTTAACTACAAATGTATCTTATTTCGTGAGTATGTTTCTACAAAATTTTGTGCAAATTATACTTTGGTGCTTCAGATGCCTAACAAAGATCGCTATTTAAAGAACCCCTTAAAGAACTTTTAATCTGTTTAATAAGTATGGATATTTGATTCATTTAAAAGGGATAGTGCCTAAATAATAAGATTCATTATTAATAATAGCATTCATATCTGTCATTCTTCATCTATTCTTTTCCCCATCCCTGTGTGTTGTTAGCTGAATCACTACTTTTATCATGATATTTCCTCTCCAAAATGATCTTTTTTTTAAATATATTTTATTGATTTTTTTACAGAGAGGAGGGAGAGTTAGAAACATCAATGAGAGAGAAACATCGGTCAGCTGCCTTCTGCACACCCCCTACTGGGGCTGTGCCCGCAACCAAGGTACATGCCCTTGGCTGGAATTGAACCCGGGACCCTTCAGTCCACAGTCTGACGCTCTATCCACTGAGCCATACCGGTTAGGGCCTAAATGTTCTTTTAAATAACTATTTGATCAAACCCCCACTCTGCCCTGGCACTCATAACTTTCAATAATCTAGCCTTTTCTTAGTTTAAGTCCTAGCACATTGCTAGGTATAAGATATATACTTAAATCAAGCTTGTACATAAAGATCAAGGTCATTTGTTGCCTATAACTTGAACTTTATACTAGTAGCCGAAATTCGTGCACATTAAAAGGGAATTAATTAGCAGAAATATTTTAATATTGCTATTTGCCCTTCCTCTATAATAGAAGTGTGAAAGATGAAAGTACAACAAAACATATGAAAACAACAAAAACATGATACAAAAACAACAGGGATGCAAACAATGACTGATAAAGTGATTAAACTTATTCTAATACCTCCCTGTATACCACATTAAGACTAAAAACACTTTCAGAGTGCTTGACTAATTTCCCTTGTGATAAAGTATTTAGAACTTTAACGTCACATGCTCTTCAAACTTGAGAGAAAGCAACATATAACTGACCATGTGTGAAAACAGGTTTAGGTAGGAATATTCCTATTCTGTCTAGAGTTTGTCCTTCTGATTTATTAATAGTCATCACAAATGCTGGCATCACAGCAAACTGTCACTGAAGAAATTTAAATGGGAGGCCAGTGTCAGATGGGGACAAATTCTTGGAATCAGAACAACCTCTTCCTCTGCAGATCATGTTAATATTTCAGCTTTGATAATGTTAGGTTATAATCTTTTGATAATAAATCTGGATATTTTTAATATTATCTATAGATACGGTATTTCCAAAGGTAGCTTCAATAATAGATCCATTACAAATCATTTCACAGGGGGTTTCAATAATATCCATTCCTAAATGAAAACTGCTATCAAGTTTGCCATCTCCAAGTTTTACTAACCATCCACTATAAGCAGAATCCTCTGATCTCATTTGTTATAAGAGACAACTTTTTGAAACACCCCCAAACATTGCAGTACTTTAAACTCGTTTGTACTATGACCGATCACATAGCATGTGGTACAATACTGAGACATTGTTGAAAATCTCCTCCAAGAAAGAGAACTTTCCCACCAAATACAACCTTCAAATTTCTCTTAGTAATCTGTCTATGGCGTTTATAGCATGACTGGATGCTATGGTGCATTCATCAGTAATGAAAAGGTGGGGCTTTTTAATAGTTTTAGCAACTTCACTGTTTATATCGAGTCTAGAAATTGAAGTGAAGTTTCATTTAACCCTTTGCGGTCATTTGTCTACTCTCATCCACCACAGCAAGGAACCGTACGAATCTTAACTCTGTTCATCATGTATCAGTTCATAATTTCTCTGAAAGCTCTTAAGTATCTAAGTGACCTTGTCACGAACCAAAACATTGCCCCGACAAATCGGAGATATCGAAACTCGATATAAACAAACGCGGTTGCTCCACACTCGCCATGCAAAACACCGTGGCGAGTCAGTCGCCTTTTGAGAGTGAAGAAATCGACAAGATTCGGAGATACTTTGTATGGCCGATCTCACAGCATGCGGTACAATACTGAGGCATTGTTGAAAATCTCCTCCAAGAAGGAGAACTTTCCCACCAAATACAACATTCAAATTTCTCTTACTAATCTGTCTATGGCGTTTATAGCATGACTCAATGACTTGGTGCATTCATCAATAATGAGAAGTTGAGCCTTTTTATAGTTTTAGCAACTTCATTGTTTATATCGAGTCTAGAAATTGAAGTTTCATTTAGTGGAGTCGGTAATTTATATTGGTAATGAAAGGTGCTTCCACCGAGAAGTAAATTTGCAGCAATTCCTGTAGACTCTGTGGGTAAAACAGTACCACCAGAACCTCTTATATAATGTATTAAAACTTTATACAGATATGCAGATGAATAGGATTCCTCCTAGCTGGCAGGCCCCTGACAGCAAGCTGGCCACCTATGGATTTAGTGAGGAATGGGGCTCCCTCCTCCCTCCTGTCAGGGTCCGGGGTGCAGGTGAATGGGGTTCCTGGCTGTCAGGCCACTGACAGCAAGCTGTCCAACAGTAGATTCTGTGAGGAATGGGGCTCCCTCCTCCCTACTGTCAGGGTCTGGTTTGAAGGCCGACCATGCCCCCTATTGGGCCAGACCCAGAGTTCTACCACGCCGTGGCCTCCTCCTCAGCAACCTAGGAATGACTGCTGCTGGGCGCTCCTGGCGCTCCAAGGGTGGGTTCTTCCCTCAGGCCTTGCGGGAAACAGCGTGGGGAGGGCACAGCCCTTGGCAAAGTGACCCAGGACTCAGTGGGTCCATGCTCCGAGGCCGGTTCCTGCCTCAAACCTCGCCCTTGCTGGAAACAGCTCGGGGAGGGCACAGCCATGGCCAAGACAACCCCTGCAGGACTGACTTCCTTACGGTTGGTCGAGCCTCAGTCGTGACATTACACCCAGGATTTTTATATAAGTAGATACCACTGTAATGTAGTTCTGCATAGGGTCCTTCACACTCTAGGACAAGCATGTCAAACTCAAAGGCTAACATAGGCCAAATAAACAAGGTTTAAGTTTATATGGGCTGCAAAAAAACAAAAGCTTCAATTTTCATAGAAACATAGGTTTATTTCAATAGAGACATGCTGAATACGAAGGGCTGAATAAATGCAGTAATCATTATGCATAACGCACGTAAGGGAAATGAATGCAACGCGATTATAGTAATTGGTTATTCGCGAACTTTGCAATTCGTTATTATTAATTATGTATATAACAGGATATTGTAAAAGTTAAGTCACAAAATTTTTATTAAAACATTTCTTACATACCGTTATATTGGCTGGGTCGCAAAAATATTCGTTGTGGGCTGCATGCAGCCCGCTGGTCGCGAGGTTGACATGCTTGCTCTAGGAATAATGCAACACAAATAGAAGTAAAATCAGGAAGCCCAGATGAAACTTTTTCTTAGTTATGTATTTCAGTACATATACACGTTATATTTTTTTTTTCAAGCTTTTCTCCTCCTACTCCAGAATCTCAACTTATATTGGATAAAATAGTCTTGTTAGGAGACTTGAAATGATGAGCAAATATGAATCAGAAAAGAAGCAGCTAACAGTGGATTGGGTTTGGATGCAGAAACTTCAGTATCTTAGCAGGTCCTTGTGGACACAGGGAACATTGAAGAGTCATCATCTTTAAATGGAGGAATTTAAAAATATAATATAGCAACAGAAGCCAGGTTTCTCAAAAAGTGACATATTTTGATGCTTGGGGTCTTGAAATATGTTGTAAAACAAAGACATGTAACAAAAACTAATACCATCTATGAAATATTTCAGAATTCAAATAATAGTTCTGTTTCCAATATTTAAATTTGTTTTTGTTTCTTTTGATTGATTTCAGAGAGGAAAGAAGGGAAGAGAGATAGAAACATCAATGATGAGAAAGAATCATTGATAGGCTGCCTCCTGCACGCCCCCAATTGGGGATTGAGACCGCAACCTGGGCATGAGCCCTGACCAGGAATCAAACCGTGACCTCCTGGTTCATAGGTTGATGCTCACCCACTGAGCCATGCTGGCCAGGCCAATATTTATAATTTTTACTATCTCATGGACTGATTTCCCTTTGACCCTGCTAATTTCTTTAAAACCTTGATTTGATTAATTCGACAAAATTTTCTCTTCCGTTACCTGAAAAGGGAATGGGGTGCCAGGGGCATGAGGTGCTTTCTGGAGTGGTGAAAATTATTATTTTTTTATTGGAGTTGTGGTTACACAGATACATATAATGATCAAAAGTCATCAAACTGTACCCTTAAAATCTTTGCATTTTATTATTCAAGTGACTTTTTTTTAGAATAGCAAAAAACAAATAACAACGAGAAATCTTGATAAAATATTATTTAAAAGAGAAACAACTATTTTATATTTACCTAGATCTCCCTTTACCGTAAATTTATCTGAAAAACATGCACTTAAAGGTTTTTTTCTTTGCAGCCAATTGCCATCTTTGAACAATGAATAATTTTGAATTTACATTTTTAACTATTTGGGCAAAAAATAATTAAAGCACCCTGTGTTTTCATATTGCAAACCTGATTTGGAAAGTTGCTAGTTTAATTTTTTAAACCTTTTAAACAAAAATGTTTTTATTTTGTTTCGAATTTACAGAATTGGTTTTATACCCTGGAATATTGAAACAGAAGTCCTTCCTCTCATCCCTTCTGTGTTGCCGAGAACTATTTTTCCAACAAGTACCATATCTTTACAGAATTTTGGTAAAGTTTGTGAAGTTCTTTTCTACTTTTAAAAAAATATGAGCTTCTTTCAATCTCATAAACTGTGTGTTGAAAAACTGTTAAATAAGGTTTAAATAGTAAGTCTAAATATGTTTGTAAATATTTGGTCAGTGACTTGACTTTAAAATTGTTCAAACCAGAAATTCCTTTTACTTTAAGAAATTACAAGTTAATCTTTTTGAGGACTGATTTGAAGTCTCCCTTCTATTTAGGGCTTTAGTGTCCAAACCATAGATCTTTAGAAGTAGCATCTCATATCCCGTTAATTATGAACAAAGAATTTGAGTCTGTATTTGTGACAACTTGTTTTCTATTGCATTTTGCCAAGGTAATAACAATTCATAAAGCAAACGGCAGTTATCAGACCAAATGTATTTTCTTTTGGGTTTTTTCTCCCTATAAAATTGCCTACATGGATTCATATCTTGTGATAGCATATTTCAGTAGCATTAAAAGGAGCTGATAAATATCTGATATTGCTCAGATATTAATAGCTATACATTTATTCATAATTTGATTCATAAGTATATTTTGTTTCACTCTGTTATAGATGTGTATTTTATGCTAAAATAAGCTGAAGCTAAACTATTCTCATTTATTGAAACATATACGTACTTTTTACTCTTTAAAAAAATATTAGGTACTTCTTGCAAGGGATATGCATTAGCACATACTCAAGAAGGAGAAGAGAAGAAGCAAACTTCTGGTACATCAAACACCAGAGGATCAAGACGAAAATCTGCAGCAGCAACTCCTACAAGGAGATCTACACGTAACACAAGATCTGAAACAGCCACTCATTCTCAGAGATCCCCGGCATCAAATAATTCTGGGTGTGATGCCCCAGATAACAGTAAGCCATCTCTCAGTGTTTCTTCTTCAGCTGAGTCAGAAAAGCAAACAAGACAGGCCCCCAAACGGAAGTCTGTAAGAAGAGGAAGAAAACCACCTTTACTGAAAAAGAAACTTCGAAGCTCTGTACCTCCTTCTGAAAAAGCATCTTCCAGTGATTCAGTAGATGAAGAAACGGCAGAATCTGACACACCACCTGTATTAGAGAAAGAGCACCTATCAGATGAAGAAATTAGAAACACTTGTACTGTGCAGACAAATGTAGAAAATAAGTCTGCTAATGGCTTGAAAAGTTGCAGTGAGCAAATAGAAGAAAGTGAGGAATATACTGAAAACCATGACACAGAGGAAAAAGTAGAATCTTCATATTCTGAGTCTTGTATCCAAGATCCTCCTGTTCTAGTTGGAGAGGAGGAGGACGTTCAGAAAGTTGAGAATACGGGTATTGAGGAAGTTCAAAAAGTTGAGAATACAGGTATTGAAGTTCAAAAAGTTGAGAATACAGGTATTGAGGAAGTTCAAAAAGTTGAGAACACAGGTATTGAAGTTCAAAAAGTTGAGAATACAGGTATTGGAGGAAGTTCAAAAAGTTGAGAACACAGGTATTGAAGTTCAAAAAGTTGAGAATACAGGTATTGAAATTCAAAAAGTTGAGAATACAGGTATTGAGGAAGTTCAAAAGGTTGAGAATGCAGGTATTGAGGAAGTTCAAAAAGTTGAGAATACAGGTATTGAAGTTCAAAAAGTTGAGAATACAGGTATTGAGGAAGTTCAAAAAATTGAGAATATGGATAATGAGTCTAATGTTTTTTGCTTAGAAAGTGATATTTCTAAAACTATTTCTGAAGAAGGAGGTGATGCATTAGAAAATGAAGACCAAATATCTTTACCTTCAGAATCAGAAGTAAAAGCAGATATATGTACAGATTATCCTCCAAATGATTCTCTTACATGTTCAGCATCTGAAATTGAAGTAAACCAACCTGTACCAAGCCTACATGAGTTATCTGAGAATGCAGAGATAGTTATGGTTAATGAAGAAAAAGTTGTAGAGGTCAATGAAGAAAAAGTTACAGATGTTAATGATCAAGAGGTTATAGAGAGTCCTATAGTAGAAATTATTGATCCTAATGATTCTACAGTAGAAGCAGAACAGCTTGTAGACAGCCCAAGATTAGAATCTTCTGAGGGTGGAATTATACAAACAGTGGACAAAACCTCTATTGAGATCTCAGAGATTCAGTTGCCTGGGCATGTTGAAACTGGAGATACAGAAGTAATGTGTGATACTTCAGGGAATGAAAATTTTAGTAGTATTCAAGACTCTGAAAGTAATTTATTAAAAAATAATCTTAACACCAAATTAGACACATCTTTAGAAGAAAAGGCTGAGTCTCTGGTTGAACAACCCAGATCTTCAGAATTGCCTAACACACACATTGAACAGATTCAGAAACATTTTAGTGAAGACAATAATGAAATGATACCCATGGAATGTGATTCATATTGCAGTGATCAGAATGAGTCTGGAATTGAACTGTCTGTAAATACTGATGCTAAACAACTAAACAAAAATTCTGCAGAGCACAGTTCTCAAAATAATATGCCATTTTCTGATCCTGTAAGTGAAAAAGTTGAAACTGTATCTCAGCCATTTGAAAACCCAATTGATATGATAGATAAAGCAAAAAAGCCTCGTACTCGAAGATCTAGATTTCATTCCCCATCTACAACTTGGTCTCCCAACAAAGATACTGCAAAGAAGCGCTCTCAGTCTCCATCTCCCAAAAGAGAAACTGGGAAAGAAAGCAGGAAGTCTCGGTCACCATCTCCCAAAAAAGAATCTTCAAGAGGACGGAGAAAATCTCGTTCCCAGTCCCCAAAACAGGATATTGCAAGAGAAAGAAGGCAGTCACAGTCTCGATCTCCAAAAAGAGACAGCACAAGGGAAGGCAAAAGATCAGAGTCACTCTCCCCAAAGAGAGACACTTCTAGAGAGAACAGAAGATCTCAGTCACGAGTGAAAGATTCCTCCCCAACAGAAAAATCCAGGTCCCGGAGCAGAGAAAGAGAAAGTGATAGAGATGGGCCTAGAAGAGAGAGAGAAAGAGATAGAGAAAGGAGAACCAGAAGGTGGTCTAGGTCCAGATCTCGTTCTAGGTCACCATCAAGATCTAGAACAAAAAGTAAGAGTTCATCATTTGGTAGAAATGACAGAGATAACTACTCTCCTCGGTGGAAGGAAAGATGGGCAAATGATGGTTGGAGATGTCCACGAGGAAATGATCGGTACAGAAAGAACGACCCAGAGAAACAGAATGAAAATATAAGAAAAGAAAAAAATGACATCAGTCCAGATGCTGATGATCCAAATTCTGCTGACAAACATAGAAATGACTGTTCCAGTTGGGTAACAGAAACAATAAATTCTGGACCTGATCCAAGGACCAGACATCCAGAAAAGTTAAAAGATTCCCCTTGGGAAGAAAATAGAAATGAAAATTCAGGGAATGCTTGGAATAAAAACTTTGGTTCAGGTTGGATGTCTAACCGTGGTAGAGGTAACCGGGGCAGAGGCACTTACAGAGGTAATTTTGTCTATTCAGATCAAAATGAAAATCGGTGGCAAAACCGAAAACCCCTCTCAGGGAATTCAAATGGTTCAGGGAATGAGTCTTTCAAGTTTGTGGAACAGCAACACTATAAGCGGAAAAGTGAGCAAGAGTTCTCATTTGATACACCAGCAGATAGGTCCGGGTGGACATCTGCATCTAGTTGGGCTGTGAGAAAGACTCTTCCAGCAGATGTGCAAAACTATTATTCACGACGAGGGAGGAATTCCTCAGGCTCACCGTCTGGATGGATGAGACAGGAAGAGGAAACACCTGGACAGGGTAATGTATTCTGTTTATTAACACTTTTATTTGAGAAAAGAGACTATAAGTTTCATGCCTTATTCATTTGAATTGAAATGATCTGTCTTTATAGTTTTACTAGAGGCCCGGTGCGTGAAATTTGTGCACTTGGGGTGGCGGCTCCTTCTGCCTGGCCTGTGCCCTCTCGCAGTCCAGGAGCCCTCGGGGGATGTGTGACTGCTGCGGAGGCGGGAGAGGCTCCTGCCACCTCTGCGCTCGCCAGCTGTGAGCCCAGCTCAGGGCTTCTGGCTGAGCGGTGCTCCCCCTGTGGGAGCACACTGACCACTAAGGGGCAGCTCCTGCGTTGAGCATCTGCCCCCTGGTGGTCAGTGCACGTCATAGTGACTGGTCGTTCCACCATTTGGTCAATTTGCATATTAGCCTTTTATTATATAGGATAATGTTAATTGAATCCCAGTTGTTTACAGATCACTTTATATTTTAAATAAATATATACGCATTAGTATTTATTTTCTTCTTTCATTCTAACCCTACCTGAAACTTTGCAAAAACTTTAATATTTTAAGTATAATTTACTACAATAGAAAATTTTGGAATGTTTCTATGCAGGATTTAACTTCTATTTATTTTACTTCAGATGTGTACACCTGAATTATTTTGATCATTGTTCTCATATAAATCACTCTTCTAATAAGGATTTATCTTTCTTGGCTTTTTTTGTTAACAATGTGAGAAAAGTTGTTGAAGATTAAAAGTTGATTAACTTTTCTTCTAATTTAGTAACTGAAATGAATTTGTATTTATTTCCTTAGTAAGTTTCTTGAGCTACTTATTCTTTGCTCATATTGATGGATGTTATCATGTAACTCTATTCTTAAAAATTATTTTAGTTGCATGTTTTCTTTTAGAAAATCAGCCCACATTATTTAGAAATGACAAGCTTAAGCCAAATAATTGGAGATTGGTTTAGATGTTCTGAATCTGTTCATTGCTATTTAATTTTACTATAACCATCAGTTCTTTGCTTCTCTAAAGAAATTTGTAACATATTTTTCACAAGCCTTTTTCTTTTGATAGATTCTAACCTAAAAGACCAAACAAACCAACAAGGTGATGGTTCTCAACTACCTATAAATATGATGCAACCACAAATGAATGTAATGCAGCAACAAATGAATGCACAGCACCAGCCTATGAATATCTTCCCATATCCAATGGGTGTTCATGCTCCTTTGATGAACATCCAGCGCAATCCATTTAATATTCATCCTCAGCTACCCTTGCATCTGCACACAGGAGTACCTCTCATGCAGGTAGCTGCTCCTACTGGTGTATCTCAGGGACTACCACCACCCCCACCCCCTCCCCCACCATCCCAACAAGTCAACTACATTGCTTCACAGCCAGATGGAAAGCAATTGCAGGTATGTTTTTAGCAACTCAAGTTTAATCAACATAGCCATTGTAAACATTTAGCTATTAGGGACAGATATTCAAGACAGGACTTCCTGTCATCCAAACAATTATTTATTTGATTAGGTTTATGCAGCGATTTTCAACCTTTTTCATCTCATGGCACATGTAAACGAATTACTAAAGTTTTGCGGCACAACAAAAAATACCTATTTTGTCGATCTCACAAAAACAATAGGTGTAAATTTGATTCATTGACACTGGACAGCTATTGTTGTATTAGCTGTTATTTTTTTATTTGACAATCTAAGCTCAGTGTCCCTGATTAAATCATCAGGTATTGCATGTTTTAAAAATTCTTGTGGTACATTGGTTGAAAATTGCTGGGTTTATGGTAAATCTTCATAACCCCTCTTTCACAGTTCTTCTCCTAAATCTCCCTCCCCACAAGTAAGAAACTGAATTAAATACTTATTACCAAGTCTACATACACTGTTATTAAACTCCAAACGGGTTTTTTCACATTAAGAGGACCAGATAATAATGAGCCAAACTAGAATTGTTGTGGATGCTTTAAATTTTTCCCTAATTTATTGGACTTCTTAGGGGGTGGGAACTTGTGATAAAGTACTGTTAATGAAGCTTTTTATTGTCTTGTTTGGTCAGACGCCAGTTAAAGCTATTCACTAGCTATTACTGTCTCATTTTCACAAAGTTACCATGCTAAAAAGAATGAGGTGCGTCTGAGGCATACAGATCATTTGAATAATTTGTAAACATTGTGTTGCTTATTGTTTTATGTCTACATTTCAGAAATTCTAGAATCCTGATAGCAAGATATAGTTGGAAGAACAAGGGAATGGGATTCCAGAATATGGGATCTTAAATCTTTTTCTGCTATCTACTCTCTGCAAGCCATTTGACTTCACTGCCTCATTTCCTCTGATCTTTAAAGGGGGGCACTTCAGTTAATTTCCATAAAGAACCTTGCAGGAAAGATACTATTCTTTAAATGCTCTTCTTGTTTTTAGTGTTGGTGTCAGAACATTACAATAAACATGCATAATTTAAAAGTCATGTTGACATCTTTAACTAGGGCTCTGTTTTTAAGAATGTTACTCACTTTTCTTCATAAAAGACCTGAAATATGCATTTCTCCTAAGTACAAAGATTGAATTGCTTTGAAGTTTTAAAATGTTATTTCTAATATGTAACTAAAAGATTTCTATTGAGTACAAGTAATTCATTAATTGATGATAACTCTTTAAAACAGGGTATTCCTGGTACTTCTCATGTAACTAATAACATGAGTACACCAGTCTTGCCTGCTCCGACAGCAGCCCCAGCAAATATGGAAACAGTTCAGGGACCAAGTTCTGGTAATGCTTCGTCATCAAGTCACAGCAAAGCCTCTAATGCTGCTGTAAAATTGGCAGAAAGCAAAGTAAGTGTTACAGTGGAAGCCAGCGCAGATAGCTCGAAGACAGACAAGGCAAGTTCAAGGTTGAGCGCAACCTACATAATTTTGTTTCTGATAAAGTTGAAAAAAATCACAGCTTTCTATTGTATAAGTGGTACAGGGAATTTATTGATAATCTTAAATATTAATATTATTTGAAGGGTCCTATCTAGATATGTTGATGCCCAATGAGTTGCTAGTAATATTTCATAATTATTTTTAGAAATGTTTGATATGTACGTTAGTAAATAAATTTTGTGTTTACAACATATTTGAAGAGTTCCTTCTAATAATGCAAATGCACAGTGCTTTTAATTTTATATTTTTAAATAAAGTTTTTGGAAGTATTTAATTGGGCAAATAATAATTATACATTTTCTTCTTACTAGAAATTGCAAATTCAAGAGAAAGCAGCACAGGAGGTAAAACTGGCCATTAAGCCCTTTTACCAAAATAAAGATATCACCAAGGAAGAATATAAAGAGATTGTACGAAAAGCAGTAGATAAAGTAAGTTATAGCTTTAGTGTAGTTCTGTATGTATTGTTTTGAAATATCTCTATTTTAATAATGGGATGCTTAAGTCTAATTAAAATAATAAGAGCTACCTTCTTCTAATTCTTGTCTGCTTTTTTAACTTTTGAATAAGTTCATATAAGATATGAAGAAACATGGAAAAATGTCTGGTTTGGGGTTGTTTTTCACAAAGCTTTCCATTTTATTCCTTTTAACTATGAAAAAAAAATTTCCCTCATTTTTTCATAGGTTTGTCATAGTAAGAGTGGAGAAGTCAATTCTACTAAAGTGGCAAATTTGGTTAAAGCCTATGTAGACAAATACAAATATTCACGGAAAGGAAGCCAAAAGAAAACTCTGGAAGAACCTGTGTCTACTGAGAAAAACATAGGCTGAAAGGAGAGCACTATAAGGACACTGTCAAGATATCTGCAAAGTGCAATTTCAACATATACCTTTAACTGAAAATCATACCTAACTGTGATTGAAATTTGGTTTTGATAAAATTATTTTTTTTAATGTAGGATATGTTTTGTTCAAAATAAATAATAGTTCTGCACTGTAACTTCTATATCCTTTCCTCCCCCACCCCCAAATAAGAGCAAATTCAAGGGAAACTAAAGGGGTTAAGGAATGCATTACTACTAGGACTGTTGCAGTGTGGATGTGGAAGATGTACATACAGCTTTTTTATTTCAACAATGGAGTGCACAAATTAGAAATTTCTAAGTGCACTGGTTTTGGAAGAGAGATATATATATATATAATACCTTTATTCTGTCAGGCTAAAAATAAAGTATGATCTATATGATTTTCCCCTCTAATTATAGAAAGTTAAGTAATGTATTACCATGAAAAATATTTCTAATAAGAGAACATACCAATTGCAGGATTCCTAATCTGTATTTTTAAAAGCACACATCTGAATAAATTGCTTTGCTAGAAAACAAGTGATCACATGAGTAAAACTCAGTGTTCAAAACTTCGGAACACTGTTGACCTATTGTATCACCAAATAAAGGGTATGCTGCTTGTTTTTCTTTGTGCCTTTTTTTCCCCCCGGTTGAGATGAAGCTAGATTTACATTTGCTAGATTTACAGCTTTGACAGTCTAAATTCTTTGTTGAATTTAGAAGATCAATGTGAAAAAGAGTGTTGACTTTGTAAAAGTTGTTTTTTCATAATATTTCCTATCGATCAGAGATGATAAATTTTCTGTGCCAACCAGAGGCCTGCAGTAAGTGGTGGCCACGATCCTCTCTTTCTTGGGACTACAGTAGAATTGTGAGACTCACTTCAGTGGCTTTCCAGTTGTTGTTCATTTGTCCAATCATTAATGAAAATCTTTTCACACTTGAGATATCCAAATGTTTTACAATGAATGAAGTGTTAATTTGGTGACCGTATGATGGCCATTAAGCATGTTGTAAAAATCTAGACATTCAAATCTGTGTTTTGGAAAGGGAGAGGAATTAAATAATGGAGTTTGGGTTAGGCCTTCAGGGACTAGGGATTTGGTTGTTTTTTTAAGTATTAGAATATATTAATTTTTATAAAAGGTAAGTTAAAAGTATTAATAGTACCATTATTTTAATTGGCATTTTGGAAGAAAACAAGAGTTGTCTCCATGGTAATCTGTCCTTAATTCTAGTAACAGTTTTCAGTAGATACCAAATAACTGGAAAGTTATTCAGACAAAGATTATATATGGCTCAATGAAACAGGCTGACCCTTTTACTAGCTAAACTAGCAAGAGGAATACTCTGTGGACTGTGCTTTTCTGAAATAAAGATTGTGTTTCTCAATTTTATGTGCATAATACTTTCCTGGTGCTAGCTTTGATAGGCAAAATATTTTGAAATGATGGCCCCAATAGTGATTGTGCTAGTTCATAATCTTTAATAGATTATGAGTATAATCCCCAAAAAGTATTAGAAATATTTCCAAGCAGCTTTTGATCTTTATTCTGCATTTTTGGGCATTTGTAATATGGTATTCTACTGATTTATATATATTTTTAATTAAAGTTTGTGTTTAGATTATGGGAAAGTGTAGAAGTATATTTCTTCTAATAAAATATTAAGACAGTATTTTAAATATCAATGCACACATCCTCACTTGTTTCAGTTTTGAGCTCTAGAAACAACTGTGTTAACTTTAAATCTATTTTGAGTTAAAGCTGGTTCACACTTTGAAAATTTTGTAGCAAATTGCCTAAGCCAATTAATCACACAATGCCTACTTTTCCTTTTTTTTTTTCCAGTGACTTTTGGGATTTTGGTGACATTTTAAAATTTCTTTACTATTTATCATTTGAAAACATGTTTAAAATAAATTTTAAAGAAAAACTAGGTGGCATGATCAAATCTCAGATGTTTGGCAGCACTGTCATGAATTATTTCCACCTTTCCTGAAAATAAGGTGTAATCCATATCTGGTTGGTGTACTGGTTAGAACGCATTTAGAATAGCTAATGAAGAATGCTACTGCATTAGAATTCAAACTTTTAAAACTTTGAAATATTTGAGAACGTATTAGAAAGTGCATGCTTTATGTTAAAAAATACATTGCTTTAACATTCCCCATTCTTGGTTTTTCAGAAATTTATATTAATTTTGCATGTGTGCATACTTAAAAATATTTTGTGGTGTTACAGATTTCTCTTATTTATGAAGATTCAGTATTAACTTGACCTTTGAAACCTTGTTCCTTTAACTTACTAGTCACATTGACCAATGTTTTAAGAGGTAGGGATGTCTAGAATTTTGAGACTGAAGGTAGCTATTATTTGAACATTCCAAAAGTTTTGTGATTTTTTCCCCTGGTAATTACCACATTTTCTTCATCATCTTCCTTTAAATGACCACAGAATGTGCTGCTTGAATGTTCATCAAAAAGGTGTAGTTTCGGGAGCACGGGTGGTTGCCATGGTCCACGACACATTGTTTGTAGTGTGAGGATGGAGTGCTGTCTACTGAAGCAATGCTCTTAAACAGATATGTAGTATGTAATATTTTCTAATAAATTCTTTTGATAAACAAAGTAGTGTCTTTAACATTTTATTAAGATTCCTGGGAAATGGATTTTTATCTCATAACTCTTTCCAAACATTTGTTGAAGTATTTCTTGGATTTGCACCAAAGTAACTAGTATCATAGTTACTTTAATGTCCAAGTTGTAAAGCAAGCTTTGAGTTAACTACAAGCATCTGTTTTAACAGCATTTTTCCTAATTACATAATCATTACAGGAAATTAGAAACACTTAGTAAATAAAAAAATCCAGAAAGACAGAAGAAACGGAATAGGGAAAGGAGAAAAATCGCCTGTGATTGTACTGATCAAATTGCACATAATTGTTCTAAGTCCTCCTTTTCACTTAAAGATGTATTGAAAAGTTGTTTTAATAAAAATTGTAGAGTGTGATTTTTAATGGCTATATAGTGTTCTATTATATAGATATTAGAGGCCTGGTGCATGAAATTTGTGCACGGGTAGGGTCCCTAGGCCTGGCCAGTCGGGGCCTTCTGGCTGCCGGCCGGGGCCTTCTGTTTTGTGCTGACTCCTGGTGGTCAGCACACGTCATAGTAAGCAATAGAACTCCCGGTCCAACTCCCGCAGGGCTACTTTGCATATTAGCCATACACACACACACACACACACACACACACACACACCTTAAACAGCCTCTGTTAGATATTGTTTTTACTAATATAATTAAATTAGTAAAATATAAATTGTACTAATATAAATAAGACTGATATAAACATCTGTCTATATAAATTGTACCCATTTCTCCTAGAAGTAGGATACCTTGGTCAGTTTTTATTTTCCCATAAATTTTAAGATGTAATTATATACATACACTTAATATGTAATTTTTAATAGGTCAGTTATAGTCAGTATAAAACTCCATTTTCCTAAGCTGGTTTTCTATCCAGAGAGAACCATCAGAAAGATGTTTTTATGTTTCCATACTCTTCAACACATTTACAAAAATACTTTTTGAGATTCCGGGATAATTAGTTACCCCAGCGCATAAATTATATTCTGTAAACTGTTCTACATCTCTTGTCCCCTTAAGAAATTGAAGATAGCCCTAGCTGGTTTGGCACAGTGGATAAGAGTGTAGGCCTGTGGACCAAAAGGTCCAGGTTCAATTCTGGTAAAGGTCACATACCTTGGATGCAGGCTCGTGGTCGGAGCTCATTCAGGAAGCAACCAATTAATGTTTCTCTCCCATCGATATTTTTGTTTTTCCCTTTCTCTAACACACTCTAAAAAAAAAAAAATTAAGATGTAGTCTGTCACCCATGTCTATTTTATAATGGTTCTATTGTTCTTTGGTTGATGAGTAACCTTTGGCTATTAGAAACAATGTTAATGAACATCCTTTTTGTCTATGAGGTTACATTGAATTTCAGGATATTCACATTTTAATTTGGATAGATGTCAAATTGCTCTCTAAAAGGAGTATATTAATTTATAGTTCCATCACTGTTCCTGAGCTTTATAAAGGGGACATATGTAGTAATTTCAACAGATTTTTTTTTTTAAATCCCGAAAATGTTGAACAAATCTGGCCAAAGAGTCAGCTAACAAACTATACACCAGCATGGATAGTAGTTGACTGGAAACTGGTTTCAAGTTAGCATAATCTTCTGCCTAAGAAATGTTCCGTCTTTAAGGGAATTCCCAGAAAGTTTTGTTGGCAAAGTGGAGTGGTGTCAAATTAATAAATGAAATACGTGGAAAATAAACCTGAGGAATTATGGAAAACTTTAGAAAGATAACAAAATGCACATGAAGAAAATACTTAATGAAACTAGTGAAGCAAATACAAAAATAATGATTGGCACCCAAAATTGGTGTCTTGTATGTACTAGCAACCAGACTCCCCATGGAAAGAATTCTAGTTTTTCTCTATAATTGGGCTCTGTCTGCTGGTGAAGTGGCTCCACTTAACTTGGCATATGACCTTAGTCAAGGTACTTACTATTCTAAACCCTCCATATCCCACTTTTAAACAACTATTACATTGGGTTGTTAATGTATATGATATGATACATGTAAAAGGCTTAACACAGTGACTGGCAGAGGGAAGTGCTTATTAGCAAATGTTAGTGACCAGCATAAAGTGTGGAAACCACTTAAATGTTCATCAATAAGGGCTCTAGTTAAATAGATCATGGTACACCCATAAAATGGAGCTCTTCATACCAATATGGAAAGATCTTAAGATTTTCAGTTTTTAAAAAAGAACGGCAGTGTTAATGGTATGAAATACTTTGTGTAAAAATGAGAAAATACCCTGATTGCTTGTATGTAATCAATACCAGAGATGTGCCGCAGAGTTACGATCAGTGGTTATCTGGCAACGGCGTGGGATCCAGCAGGCAGGGGAGGGTCTGGAGGGGGACTTCTCATTGACTGTCTCTTGAACTTTTAAAAAATTTATTGATTTCAGAGAGAGAAACATCAATGATTAGGATCATTGATTGGCTACTTCCTGCATGCACCCCACTGGCGATCAAGTCTGCAACCTGGTCATGTGCCCTAATCTGGATTCGAACTCGGTGACCTCCTGGTTCACAGGTCGATGCTCAACCACTGAGCAATACCCGCTAGGCCCTCTGGAACATTTTGATTATCGAATTGTATGGTTGTTACCACCTACTCACAAAGGATACTTTAAAACAGTGGTTCCCAACCTTTTTTTTGGCCATGCCCCAGCTAAACATCTCTAAAATTCTGATGCTCACTCCTGTGACATACAGTTCTTATTATTCAAAAAGTGAACTCCTATTCACATGGAAGAAGCCTAAAAGGCCATTAACTTGGTCTAAATAAGCTTCCAAAGAATATAGCATCCGTGAAAGAGAAAAATAAAAGAATAAAAGGACAGTTGAAGTACTGAGGAAGGATACCAGGAAGTGATATGAAAAAATAGCAAAGCTTCAAAACATAATAGAGAACCAAAATGCATAAATGTCACAATATATATTTATATACTGTATATGGCCCCTAGAATCATAAGTGCAAAAAATTCAGTTAACTCATTCTCAAACTGCCCCCCTTAAAAATCAAATCATCCCCCTTTGGGGCTTGTGCCCCACATTGGGAACCACTGCTTTAAAAACTTCATTTCAGACTGAAATCCACAGGAACCAGGACTTAATGGCAGGTTTTTCACTTAATATTTAAGTACAATAGGTTCTCAAGTAATGTTTTGAAATGCTGTAGGAACTTGTTTTTATTTATTAGTTTGTGGTAAACTGGTTTCGGTATACACGTCGCACCCCAGTTCCAAGAACCCACTGAGAACATTGAGGACTTAACTGTAGTCTTAGAGCAGTGGTTCTCAACTTCCTAATGCCGCGACCCTTTAATACAGTTCATGTTGTGGTGACCCCCAACCATAAAATTATTTTCGTTGCTACTTCGTAACTGTAATTTTGCTACTGTTATGAATCGTAATGTAAATATCTAATATGCAGGATGTATTTTCATTGTTACAAATTGAACATAATTAAAGCATAGTGATTAATCACAAAAACAGTATGTAATTATATGTTTTCCAATGGTCTTAGGCAACCCCTGTGAAAGGGTCGTTCAACCCCCAAAGGGGTCGCGGCCCACAGGGTGAGAACCGCTGTCTCAGAGGAACCGAATCTGCTCACCTACCTATGTGACCATGTGCCTCAGCCTTTCTACGTTATGCATAGTGCAATCCTGTAACTAATTTTTAACAATAGAAGCATTTGCTCCTTTTCTTATGAAATGAGGATTCACAAATGTAACTAGTTTTGCAAATATCAAGGTAGTAAAAAAGCCCTGGCTGTAATGTAACTAGCAAGTTAGTACTGTCTTCATTTGTTTTGCTGCCTTAAGAGAAAGTCATTAAAACTGAATATCTGACTGCATTATGTTCTATGAAGAGTTAAAGTAATATGAGAGTGATTGATAAGCCAAATTTTCCTTGGATAAACAAGGAATTTTTTTCTCTTTTAAATACTATTTGATCAAAATGATCCCAGCATCAAGCGCGAGGTGCCCATGTGGTTAATGCCATAGCTGTGCTCCTGCTGCTTCACCGCTTCTGTTTTGTGGAAAAAGTCTCACCATGCTTCCTTGGTGTCTAATAGTCACAGTGGTCAAGATCACAACAGAAGGCACTTATCCAAAACATTCTCATTTTAAAAATCATTTTTATTGTCATTTTATGGTTAAAAAAACATACATGGCATGACTATAAAGTAATGAGACAAGTTTCCATGTGTGGCTTGAACTACTGAGTCTCATTAGTATATAGTCACATCCTATCTCGAACTTGGAAGAAAAATATGCCTTGGCTATATGATTACCAATTTTGTTACTTAAAATTTATTGAGTGCCAACAGAGCACTAGGCACGTATATAACACAGAATTGTACAGTCTCTAAGTTGTAGACTATATAATTTACATAGATTTCTTAAAGATAACATTAAAGCATGTATTTACAGAACTTTAGACAAAAATAACAATACTGGAAATCAGCAAGTTTCTGTCTAGCGAGGAGCACCTTTTCATGAGAGGGTTACGCAGAACTTGTGCGTGAGCACTTTAATTCCATTACCCAGCAAGTCCATGTTATTTCATTATATAGTTATATAAAGCTATAATTGGTTTCATTAGGTCAAATACATATTTAGAAAATTCTCTGCTGAGACCAATGCTTCAAGGAGACTACAGACGTATTTACATATTATAGCACAAAAGCTAGAACTATGGCATGCGATTCCAATAAGGTGGAAGAATGGTGAATACGAAAATCATTTTTCTAAACCTGGTTTCTTTTCTATTAATTTGCCATAGCAGTCTTAATTTGCAAAGAAACGTACCTTTAAAACAAACGATGTTACACAAAATTATTGATGTTACACAAAATTATGTTAGAAAAATTCAAGAGATTTTTAGGTAAATACAATGAATAGGAAATTCTCCAACCGACATCCACCATTGGTAGCCTTGTAAGTTTTGGGGGCTTGAGAGTGATTGTAGTGT